CCGCAACCGAGGTACATGCCCTTGACCAGAATCGAACCTGGGACCTTTCAGTCTGCAGACCGACACTCTACCACTGAGCCAAACCGGTTTTGGCCAATAAAGGTTTATTTAAAAAAAAAACATGCTCAAAGTCGCTAATCATACAAGAGATGCAAATAAAAATGACAATGAGGTATTATACCTGTAAGAATGGCTATCATCAACAAATCAACAAACAAGTATTGGTGAGGATGTGGAGAGAAAAGAATCCTCTTGTACTGCTGATGGGAATGCAGACTGGTGCAACCACTATGGAAGACAGTATGGAGTTTCCTCAAAAATTAAAAATGGAACTGCCATTTGACCCAGTAATCTCACTTCTAGGAATATATCCCAAGAAATCAGAAACACCAATAGAAGGGATATATGTACCCCTATGTTCACAGCAGCACAACTTACAATAGCTAAGATTTGGAAACAGCCTAAGTGCTCATCAGCAAATGAATGGATTAAAAAACTGGTACATCTACACAATGGAATAAATACTATGCTGCTGTAAAACAGAAGGAACAGTTACCATTTGCAACAGCATGGATGCACCTGGAGAGCATTATGCTAAGCAAAATAAACTAGTTAGAGGAAGATAAATATCACATGATCTCACTCATTTCTGGAATATAATGAACTAATGAGCAAAAATTGAGCCAGAGAAAAACATTTTAGAATATAATAAAAGTAATCCGTTTTTTATTTTTCACATTTCATACAACTTTTGTGATATTATACTATACTAGAGGCCTGGTGCAGGAAATTCATGCATAGAGTGGGGGAGTGGGGAGGGTCACCTCAGCCCAGCCTGCACCCTCTCCAATCTGACATCCCTCTCACAATCCTGGACCACTGTCTCCTAACGTTTCCCTGCCTGCCTGCCTGCCTGATCGCCCCCAACTACCCTCCCACCCCTACCAGCCTGGTTGCCCCCAACTGCCCCTCCTGCTGACCTGGTCCCACCATGCTGCTGCTTGGTTGTTTGGTTGACCCTCACTAAGCCCCCTGCTGGCCTAGTTGCCCCACACAACCTGTTTGGTTGTCCATTCAGTTGTGAAGGTTGCTTAGGCTTTTATATAGATAGATTAGTAAAGTTTTGGTAATATACTTAAAATCTTTTTTTCCTGAAATATTGTTTATTGCATGTAACATATTTAAAATAATTATTCTTGAAATATTAAAAGAAATTAATATCAGCTGAAATCAGTTTGGCTCAGTGGATAGAGGTCGGCCTGCAGACTGAAAGGTTCCAGGTTCTATTCCGGTCAAGGGCATGTACCTTGGTTGCAGGCACATCCCCAGTAGGGGGTGTGCAAGAGGCAGATGATTTTTCTCTCATCAATGTTTCTAATTCTCTATCCCTCTCTCTTCCGCTCTGCAAAAAATCAATAAAATATATTTTTTTAAAAAGTTAACGTCAAAAGGAAAAAAAAGAACTAGAAGAACTATCATGAGAACTGTGAATATATAGCAACAAATAAAATATAGAAAAAGTCCCCATTCTTGTGGAACCTATATTCAGACATGTCAATGTGGTCTGTGCTATTGAGAAAAATGAAGGAGGATAAGGGGATCAAGACTAAAGAGAGGAATACTACTTTATTTAGGTTAGTCTAATTTCTCTTGGGTAACCATCTAGGAATGCAATTGCTGGATAGGAATGGGTGTATGCTTATTATTTCTGTTGTTTCTTCAAATAAATTTTCAGTATCTTGCACTCTCTCTTCTCTTTCTGACACCCCCATAATGCGAATATTGGTACATTTGGAGTCTCAGGAGCTTTTTATACTCTTCATATTTTTGGATTCTTTTTTTCTTTTTGCTTTTATGATTGAGTGTTTTTTACTTCCTTACATTCCAAATCACTGATTTGATTCTCAGCAACCTCTTGTCTAGTGTTGAATACATGTAAATTATTCATTTCTAGAAATATATATTTTATAGAGGGGAAGGGAAAAGGATAGAGAGAGAGAAGCATTAATGATTAGAAAGAATTATTAATCAGCTGCCTCTTGCACACCTCCTACTAGAGATCGAGCCCACAACCTGGGCATGTGCCTTTGACTGGAATCAAAACTGGGACCCTTCAGTCCGCAGGCCAATGCTCTCCACAGTACCAAACCAGCTAGGGCATGTAAATTACTCCATATTTCAATTAGTATATGCTTAATTTCTGAGTGGTCCTTTTTCATGTCTTTGATGTTCTCACTAAGTCACTTGAAGCTCTCATTAAGATTCTTGAGCATCCTTTTAATCATTGTTTTGAACTCTGTATCTAGTAGTTTATTTCATTTTATTTACTACTTTTTCTGGAGATTTTCTCTATTCATTTGTGACATGTTTCTTTGTCTATGCATTTTGGCTACTTCCCTGTGTTTATTTCTATGTATTAGTTAGAGCTGCTTTGTCTCCTGGAATTGGTAGTGTGATCTTGTGTAGTAGGTGTCCTATAGGGCCCAGTGGCTCAGCCTCCACAGTCACCTGAGCCTGATGCACTCCTGGGTGGGCTGTGTGCAGTCTTACTGTAGTTGAGCCTTGATTACTGTTAGCATTACTAGAAAGAATTAACCTCCAGACCAATTGTCTTTGAGGACCAGCTGCAACTACAATGGAAGAACTGCTATGCAAGAGACACCCTTATGGAGCAGGACTTGCTTCAGTGGAACTTTGGTGCTCACTGACTCTGCCCCTTGAGTGTGTTGCGGTGGATGTGTAGGGTTGTAATCTGGCATGGTCTGAGGCTGTCCAACTGGTGCACTGGCTTTGGGTCTCCTGGGAGGTGCAAAGTTAAGCACTGATTGGGGCCACCTGGCAGGAGCAACAGAGTGATTTGCAGATGACTGCTATTTGTATTGGTCTTCGAAGTGCCCAGGCGAGGCCAAACTGTGAAGCAAGGCAGGCTGGTGCCCGTGTCAGGTTTGGGGCCTCATTGATAGGTTTGGAGCATGCTGACTCCAGCTGCAACTTGTTTGAGAGATTTTAAGAGAGCCTGAGGCCTGAGCCAAGACAGGCCATTTATATGGAAAAACTGCTACAAACAGCTTGGATGGATCTGTAAATTAGGTGAGGTGAAATCTTAGGGAATCTCTAGGGTGGAGTGAACAGCCTCAGATATGGCATCCGCAAGTCAGTTCTATGATTGGGGAGGTCTCAGAATAGGAACAATGAACACTCTGAGCACCTCTATCTGGGAGAAAGCTTCCCCCAAATTCTTGCCCCAATGCCAGATAATCCAGTTCCTCCCCAAATGTCTCTGGATGCCCCCAAGCTGCTGCCTCAGTGCTGGAGCTCAGAGCGAATGAGTCTGAGTAAGTGCATGCACTGGCCCTTTAAGAGGAACTGCTGGGACTCTGGCAGCCTCTTTGTGACTCAGTCACAATCCCAGCTGGTTTTATAGCCTGAAGTTAAGGGCACTTTTCTTCCCAGCTCTGGGAGCCTAGGCTGAGGGGTCTAGTGTGGGGCTGTGACCCATTGCTCCTCATTGAAGGTCTCCACAGCCAAGATATCCTTCCCAATTAGAAACACCACATGTAGGTTTCAGACCAGCGTGGTCTGCACCTCCAACCCTCCCACCAGTCTCAATGTGCTTTCTTTAATTCTCTAGGTGTAGGACTTTCATTCAGTAAGATTTCAGGAAGTTCTGAATGATGGCTTTTCTGTATTTTAGTTATAATTTTGATGTGGTTTTGGGAGGTGGTGAGTACCGTGTTTATGTACACTGTCATCTTGGTTCCTTCTATATATTTTTAATAGACTTTATTTTTTAGTAGTAAGAGTTCCCATATTCCCTGTACTCAATATAATATACAGATGATGTATTATAGAAGTGTGCATTTGAAATTCACATAAATGTATCAACCAATGTAACCCCAATAAATTCAATAATTTAAAAAAACAATTCTGGTATTCTTTTACAACTTTGTCTTCTCTGGATTCCCCCAAGGTTCCCCTCCCATATTTATTACCATATTGTGACATGCTTTTATGTATAACACAGGGAGGAAAAGCTACTAGAAGCTGAGATGAATTTTATTTTTCTTTTAAACAGAAGAAAGGAAAATGGTGATGTTACATATTTATAAGTATCTATAAATATAGAGTGATAGGCAAAGTCTTCCAAATAAATAAATAAATATTGCCACATGCTTCAAGACAGGAAATTGTGGGGGCTACCTTGGCACTGCCAAAGAGAAAACCCCCTAATAGATGGCATTGAGTTTGTGAGATTATAACCAGTTTTCCACTAAAGTCCTTTGGGAATTTTCCATCAATATTGGGGAGCTTCCAATAGTTTTTATATAGTATAATATCTCCAACAGAAAATGAAAACTATATAAAGAGAATATCTGCCATGCACTGCTACATAGTATAGTTTTGGTGCTTCATAAAAGGAATTAGTTCTTCAGGTTCAGCTTAAAACCATTAGGCAAAAACAGTTGTCCAATGTTTATCTCATAAGTAAAAAGAACAGGTGATTTTAATGTTGGGTACATGATAGCAATGGGGGAAAAGAGAGACTGGGAAGAAGCTGTTGTTTAAGTCTGCTTGTTAATATTTTGCTCTTTCGGGGAGCCTAGAGGTAGGAAAATGGGGCCCCACTGTAGGAAGACCCTACATTGAAGGGTAAGGCTAGAGTGAGGACTGAGCAGCTGCCCCACTGCCTGGCGCTCCTCAGCTGTGAGGTTTGGTTTTCCTCACAGTAGTATTGGAGCTCCTTGGCCTGAAAGCTGTCTTAATTTAATGACCCTCATTTCCCAAGTGGATTAAGACCAGACTTGTCAGCCTGGGAGTGTTTTAACCAGCCCCCAGCCACTGTTGTTGGGTGGTCGAGATCCTATGGAGAACTGGCAGTGCGGTCTTTGTCTAACTCCTTCACTGAGGTGCCCTGGCTATTGGACTTTGCTTCCCCCAAGTCCTTGATGCCACTTCACTCAGAGGGCAGAATTTACCAGAATACAGAGTACCTAGCAGCCCCATTGTCTCATTTTTATAATCTATCCAAAATGAATTGCCTCTCGACCTGGAAGTAGAAGCTTGATGAAAAGCCTCTTAGGAGAATTTGGATTTATTTCCATTTTGAAAAGCAAATCCTAGCAGGCTAGATTTTCTGGAACCGGTACTAAGACTCTTCCTCAGGCCCAGTTCACTAGAGCCCGAGGCCCGGCCAGAGGCCAGGCTGTGCCATGGCCACCCTGAGCGGGAGCAGGTGCTTCTCTGCCCTCTGGCTCTGGCTGCTGAGAGAGCACGCCAGGGGCGCCCAGCCTGGGGCCCCTGGAGTTTTCTAGCTTGATTTCTGCCCTGGTTCTTGGAGCATTCTGGTTAGGTTCTGGCTGGCTCCCACCCATCTTTTTGACAGCTGTTCTCCAGAGATGCTCAAGGAAGAACAAAGGCTTGAGATTAGGATTCCCACCCGTTTGCCCAGTTTGGCTGTTAGTGACCTGGATCAAGGTTACGAAATTCAAATTCCAACAGGGTCACGGTAGCAAATGCCAGGGGCAGAGGAGAAGACTGCTGGCATGAACTCTTCCCTTCACCTACAGAGCCGTGAGCTCACTAAACCGTAGCTTTGGCTTTAGTGCTAAGCTGATTAAGAAGAGAGGCATCTGGAAGGGGAAAATCCTTTCTCTCCGCAGTGAAGCAGACATTTCGAATTTTCCTATGGGGCTGGATTCAGAAAGGTGGTTTAGGTGGGGCGAGGAAGGCAGTGAAACCCCTTTTCCCAGGCCTCGGAGGCAGGCTCTCGGGGGCTTTCCTAGGGAAAAAGATGGAGAGAAGCGGCAGGTGGCACACATCATCCCCCCCCACCTCCCCTCCCTCGGCGCGGACAGGGAGCTGTCCCTTTAAGACTGCGGCTGCTTTCGGAAGCGCACGGACGTGAAGCCTCCTGGGCGGGTCCTAGGCGGCCCTGGGGGCGGGGCGGCACCGCTCCGCGCCCAGCCCCCGCGCGTGCGCGCCCAGCCGGTTGCCCCGCAGCACGCCGAGCGGGTCGCTCAGGTCGCCGGGCGCCAGGCCGTTGTCCTCGGCGCTGCGCAGCTCCTGGGAGCAGGAGGCGGGCGCGGGCGTGAGGCGCGGCCGGGGCTTCAGCACGACCAGCGGGTCGGCCGCCGAGTTGTCGTCCTCGGCGCTGCGCGTGTGGCGGCGGCGCGGCGCGGGCGTGTGGAAGCGGAAGAGCGGGATCTCGTTCCCCCGCGACAGGAACTGCGAGTAGGGCGGCGGGTTGGTGCCCGGCAGGAAGGCCCGCTTGGCCCGGCCCAGGCTGACCAGGAAGCGGTGCTGCGGCGAGTGGTACACGTCGTAGCCGTTCTCCAGCCTCTGCTGGCTGAACCTGCAGCTCTCGGGGCTGAAGTGATGCTGCAAGGCGGAGACGACCGTGAGGGTGGCCCAGCCCTGGCCCCGGCCCCAGATCCAGCCCCTGCCTCTGCCCCTGCCCCAGCCCTAGCCCCAGATCCAGCCCCTGCCCCAGCCCTAGCCCCAGATCCAGCCTCTGCCTCTGCCTCTGCCCCTGCCCCAGCCCTAGCCCCAGATCCAGCCCCTGCCCCAGCCCTAGCCCCAGATCCAGCCCCAGCCCCTGCCTCTGCCCCAACCTCTGCCCCTGTCTTTGCCCCAACCCCTGCCCCTGCCTCTATCCCAACCACTGCCCCTGCCCCTGCCCCTGCCTCTATCCCAACCTCTGCCCCTGCCCCTGCCCCTGCCTCTATCCCAACCCCTGCTCCTGCCCCAGATCCAGCCCTAGCCCCGCGCGCTCCCGCGGGCCCGTCTGGGGTCCGGAGGCACCGGGTGCTGGGAGGAGCCTCATCCCTCCCCACTACTCTGATGGGAGGTGCGTTTCATCTGGCTGGGGAACGTGGTTTTCCCTGGTGCTTTAGGCACCCACGGAGCTTCCAGCCCCCGGGGAGTGATAGCCACAGGGCTCACAGCCCCTGCCTTGGAGGTGGGCGCGGGCGGCCGGAGCTGCAGCGCGCCTGTGCCTGGTTCTGGAGGGAGGGCTAACTTAAATGCAGCCTTGTCCTTCCAGTTCTCCGCCTTTTTTGAACCCTCTCTTGGCTGGTGGAATGGAGTTTGGAGGAGAAAGGGAGTGGAATGGAAGTTGAAGGGTCAAACATAAGTGAGGGTACTCATATCAGAGAAAATGTGATTTGGGAGTTAGGACATGAACTTTAGCAACAGACTGAGCCCTCAGTCCGCCACCAGCTACCATGTTTCCCCGAAAATAAGACATCATCCAAAAATAAGACCTAGTGCATGGAAAGATAAGACATCCCCTGAAAATAAGACCTAGCGCAACTTTGGGAGAAAAAATTAATATAAGACACTCTTATTTTCGGGGAAACAGGGTAGTACAGGGTTTTATTAAGTACCTGCTAGGACCTCTGCATATTATTTAGTTTAATCTTCAAACTCCATGAAGTAATGTTTTACAGATGAGAACTGTATATATGTAGTCAACAGCTATTTGTGGTCAACAGCTGTTTATTACTTATTTATTTATTTAATTTTCTATATTTCTTCAACAGATATTTCTCTCCTCTGGATCTGTGAGTTTCTTTTTGTGCTGATTACCATTTGCAAATAATTTTTGCAAATGGTAATCAGCACAAAAAGAAACTCACAGAGTGAGTTTTGTGTCCCATTATAGATGTTGGGACACAGCAGTAAGCAAAACAGGAAGTCATTGCTCTCAAGAAATTTCTGGTGGGTCTTTCTGGTGGATAAGAGGCTCCTGAGATAAGCACTCCTATTATTGTACCACCTCAAAACCCTCTGGACTGAGCCTGCTGCCTGTAATTTGGCTGAAGGACCAGCCAGCACAATAGGGGCAGAGAAAATTAGAGATCTTTAGAGGGAGCCCGAAAGGGCACATGGTCCATCCTACTTTCCTTTTTCCATTCAAGAAAACTGAAGTTTAGAGGAATGGGGGGGGGGGGGGGGGGGCTTGACCAAGGTCAAGGAGGTCTAGTAACAGAAGCAAGAAGACACTAATGGCTTCTCACCCTTCCTAATGCACTTTATGCCATGAATTTTTATGCCTGAAGGACCCTTGGCTACACACAAAGTACTGTGTTAGACACACAGATAAAAACTAACAGGCTAGACTACAGACTAAGAGTTTGGGCCTCAGAGCCAGACAGCCTGGCTTCAAACCCCAGGGTTTTTGTTTGTTTGTTTGTTTTTGTTTTAATATATTTTATTGATTTTTTACAAAGAGGAAGGGAGAGGGATAGAGAATTAGAAACATCGATGATAGAGAAACATCGATCAGCTGCCTCTTGCACACTCACCACTGGGGATGTGCCTGCAACCAAGGTACATGCCCTTGACTGGAATCGAACCAGGGACCCTTAAGTCCCCAGGCTGATGCTCTATCCACTGAGCCAAACCAGTTAGGGCCAAACCCCAGGTTTATAAACCTGAGCTACTTAGACTACTTACACTGAAAAAAATACTCAGTGAAAACAAGTCATCAAGCTATTCTGCTAATGGTGTCTTCAAGCTATAAATACCTATGTTCTATAAAAAAAAAAAAAATTATTTGCAAATGGTAATCAGCACAAAAAGAAACTCACAGATCCAAAAATGTTGCCTCTGAAGTCCATGCAGAGGTATCTCCTACTCATCACACCTGTTATTGCCACAAAGCCAGCCTCCTCCGACCTGATCCTCAGGGCACCTGTGGAGGAAAGCATTCAGGTCAAGCCTCACTGTACATACACCCAGTTCCCACCTCCGAGCACTTCTGGAAAACCTCCCTTCATCAATCTCCCCTTGATTAATTTTAATGGTCAGGATGATTTCACAAACCCTCCCCTTGTATTTACTTGTTCAGCCTCATTTCTTCTGACTCTTACACACCCCCACTCTTTTCCCCTCTCCTCCAATTACCTTGCTCCACACCCCCTTGCTGCATGGAGCATTCTGCACTCCCGGCATTCTTTCACCTACATGTGTTTTTCTCCCTGCCTGCACTGTCTTTATCTTCTTGCCTGGCTAATACCGCTTCATGTGTGTGGTGGCAGTAACATTCCCCCAAAACTTCTGCCTTTGTGATTTTAAAATCTATACCAAGATGTCTTTCAAGGATCCAGCTAGCACATAGAGAACCTGAGGAGCTGTGGAAATGTCACTGGTACTTCAGTCAACATCCATCATAGGTCAAGAACTGTATTAGAATTGATCTTCTCCCTTCTCTGCTTATTGAAATCACTCATCCTTCAAGGCCAGGCTAATCTCCCTCATCATTAATTGTTCTTTCTTCTCAGCTCTCAGCATAATGCCTACACCTCTATTGCAGCACGCATTTCATTCCCCTTGCTTTAAGTTTACATACCTAGTGTGCTCCCTAGAGGGAGCTACTTAGAATCAGATGGTTTATGTTTCCATGTTGAATAGGGATAGATAGAATTTTTTTCTTGGGTCTTTATTGCTGTTCTTTGTCTTTTTCTCACTTGGTGATGTCCCCTCAAGGTGCTGTCCCCCGAAGGGTCTTTCAATATCCCTCTCAAAAACTAGACTCCTGCAAGGGCCCGAAATCCATTTACACTACCTACACCTTAAATAATTGATAACATTTTTAAGTGTACCCCCCTTACCCACTTTCATGGAAACTTGCAATTTTAACAAGTACCAATGCCTGGTTAAAGAAAGTCTAAAGCTTTCTGTTTTGTGGCAAGGATACAATTCAGCAAGACTTATGCCCCACATGCTGTTTAATTACCTGACATTTTCTATCGAAAAACATTTCCTTAAGTCTCTAAGGCCACTTCCATTGCCTCCCACAGAATTTCCCCCTGCATCTCATTTGGCCTCAGCCCCAAGGGAGAGCTCAGGTAGTGGTTCAAATCCCTCTTTTAGAAATGGCGTGTTCCCAATAAGTGGTAGCACTTCATGGGTTGACTTACAGCCCGTCTCCTCCCCATATAGCTTCTTGGATTGACTTACAGCCCGTCTCCTCCCCATATACCTCCAAGGAGAGCAGCAGTCAATTCTTAGACATGAGCTGAGAACAGACCCCTGTCTGGACTGGAGTCAGAATGACGTGGGATAGAGGAAATGATGTGGGAGCAAGTCTAGAATGAAGAGAAAGGAGGAGGCCAAAGAGGAAAGTTAATTTGATTCCAAGTTTGGCTGAGGGTTAGCTTTGAGGGAAGCTTCTGGAAGTGGGGTGGGGTATGGGAGGTGCGGAGGATATTTGCATTGCTCCATAATTGGGTCTGCCTACTATGTGTCTCGAATAGGTGGCTAATTTTGTGGTAAGCCCTGGGAGAAACTTAAGAAATTTGAAAGGAATAGTTCTGTCCTGATGAATTTTCTTTACTCTGAGTAACTTTTTGAGTGATTGTGCACTAAGAACTTGATATATTTTAAATTCTCAAAACAATGGCTGTATTGCTGATACTATTAAATGTTTGGTAACATTTATCTTAATGTTATTTATTAATATATTATTAATATTATTAATATTATTATTAATAGCAGCATCCCAACTTAAGTGCTGTGGAAACTAAGGCAGGATTCAAACTAAGGTCAGTGGACCTAACATCTTCCTATCACCTTGTAGCTTGTCTCCAACAGAAATCATCAGGAGACATAGTCTAGGCCCCACACATTGCTGGCAGCAAGGAGCCCAGCTTGCCGCCCCTGCAAGTGGTCAGGACAGGAGCACTGAACCAGGAACTGGATTCCAGTCCCAGTTATACTTCTTACTTACTTTGTAGCCCTGCACAGGTTATTGCTTTTGCCTCGGTTTCCTCAACTGTGAAAATGAAATAACAACAGTTGTCCTGCCCACTTTATAGGGTTACAATTAGAATCAAGTGGGATGATGGCTGTAAAAACGACTCGAAAGTGTTGGTCAAATGAAAGGCATTAAGCAGTATTGCTGACCTGCCGCTGTGACATCCTGTGCTCAGGGTCACTGTATGCAGGGTGCATGGACACCTGCTCCTGGTCTCCTGGGTCAGCCCCACTAGAAATCAGGCCGCAGAGGAACAGGGAGCAGCTGGCTATGGAGGATGCTCAGACTTGAATAAAACCAACATAAGCCTATGGCAAAACCAGAAAGTATAGAGAAAGAGTTTGTTCCCTTTCAGAAGGCATGTTTTCACAGTCTGCACAGATGTGAGGGCAGAATTCAGCAGAAAGAAAGACTAAATCACTGGTTGCTTGAGTCACAACCTATTGGAGCCAGACAGAGTGAATGGACATTTCTTTTAGTCACAATGGGTGGTGTGTGTGGCCCTAGAAGAAGCACAGGTTTGGGCTCATGGTATCCTCTAGGTCATCTACTACCTAGGTGACCTTGAGTGGGTTATTTAATTTCCTTAACCTTTGTTTTTCTCATAAGTAGTAGAATCACTTACCTTATTTGACTGTCTACTCTAAAGGATGCAATGTGATAATATTTTTATTCATTGTAGAAGCACTTTCTAAATGCTGGTAATTGTTATATTATTCTTTGCTTCAAGCCTCTGCTGTTAAAGTGGAAAGTTATCTGCTCTGTTCTAGTCTCATAGTCAGTAAGTGACAAGTAAGATGATCTGTGTAAAGAATCTCCAGCTCCCCAGAAGATAAGATTTTGAAGGATTAAGGAGCCTGAGGATAATTCACCTTCAAATAAAGAAAATGCCAGTGAAGAAGATGGAGGAAATAAAAATACCTGGATGTAGGAAAGGACATTAACCCGGGGTAATAAGCATCTTTTCTCTGTTGTTTCCACAAAGTGGGAGATAATGGGGAGTGGGAGGGGAGCCTTGCTCATAGCAGGACAGGAGACAGACATTGGAGAGGCTCCCTGCCATCAGTGCTGAGTCCGAAGGGAGGTTACAGAATCTTGTAGGTAGATAAGTTCACAGTGACAACAACCAAAGATGGGGTGGGCACTCAGCTATTGATCAAGAATTTAATAAAGTACAGCAATCCAATGAAACAGATTTTACTGGGAGTCTATAAACCCACCCACTCCTTACTATCAGTGTAAACGTGCTGCTTTACACTCATTGGGGAGGTAATTATAATTAGCTGTCCTATCTACATACACCAGTGTCTATTCTTTTTGGTAACATTTATCTTAATGTATACATTTTTTTTTTGCACATGATACCTGATTTGAATAGTACAGTAGATTATTCAAACTAGGGAAATTGTCTCCCACCCACCACCTTGCCCTGAGTTCCCCTCCCCAGGAGCACCTGCTTAGCTAGCATCTATACTTGACAAAACAAAGTCACTTTTCTGAAATCAGTGTATTTTATTTTACTTCTCAGTCATTTTAATTCATTCCAACTAATACTCAGTGCTTTCTCTGGGCCCAACATGAGTGGATATTTGAGGGAAAGTTCCACATTTTGGCTTGCCTGCTCAGTAGGCTGAGCCCCATACACTGAAGCACTCAGCCGGCTCACACCAGTCTACTTTGTCCTGGAGGACATGTCTTTGGGGGGACATGTCTTTGATTTTAGACAAGTTTTATAAGCATTCTCTAATTGTATTAAGCCTTTTCCCTCTATGGAAATCAGAATAATGTACCAGAAGCCACTCGGGCACCTTAAACTTTGTAGTGGGAGTAAGGGTGAGCCTCCATGGGAGCTGCAGAAACTGTATTTCCGAGAAGTCTGATAATCAGCTGGGAGACAAGGGGAAGTGCTTGAAGGGCAGTGTCTTCCTTGGCAGTCACAGAGCTTTGCATGATGTCAGACACGTAGTAGGCTCCGTTAAACACCCATTGGATAAAATGAGCAGCACTTTGGATGTATCAGGTATATCCAGATTTATTTCAGATTTTTGCCATCAGACTCAAACTTGGCTTCCAATATGTTGATTCCTGAATCTTACCTTATCCCGTTGAGTTCTGGAACATTTTTGGCATTTGGAGAGACCTTTTCTCCCTTCTCTACTTGAAGAGAATTGAACTGTTGGTTTTGCATGTGCGTATACCTTGCTACCAGGTTTAAGAACCTTTGATTCTAGGCAGAATTACTGTCTTGCACACAGCAAGGCCATAGGAAAATAACTAAATAATTTAGTACAATATATGGCAAATCGTTAGTTTTCTGTAATTAAACAGACTATGATTACTCTTTCACTCCTTTAATTTGTCCTATATTTAATCAGTATGAATTTTTCTATATTCTTAGAGTAATTTTTACATATTCTATTAAAATAGAAGTCCTTGTCTTTTTCAATATCCATTTGTCCTCCTGCCTCATTATTTTTATTTAAAAAATATATATTTTATTGACTTTTTACAGAGAGGAAGAGAAAGGGATAGAGAGTTCGAAACATCAATGAGAGAGAAACATCATTGATCAGCTGTCTCCTGCACACCCCCTACTGGGGATGCGCCAACAACCAAGGCACATGCCCTTGACCAGCATTGAACCCGGACTCCTCAGGCCACAGGCCAGTGCTCTATCTACTGAGCCAAACCGGTTTCAGCTCATTATTTCTTATATAGATGCATACCCAAGGGCCCTCATATGAATCATAGATAATTGATTGACTATTGTAGACTGTGATCCAACATTCCCCAAATGTAATCTTTAAAACATTCTAGTTGTCTCATGTTGCCAAACAGCTCCCAGCTAGCTCATTTGCTACTGATTTGTACTGAACTGGGTAGCTCTGAAGCGCCCAGTGACATGTTGATGGATGCATGCTTGGATAGATAGCTGAGTCAAGAATGGTTTGTGCACATGGTCAGGCCCATCAAGACAACATACCTGGATAGCCTGTCTTTTATACATTTTTTCCTGAAAAAATTTAAAGGCCAGAATACAAGAAGCTCAAAGTTAGAGCCCCTGAGTTCAGCTATTTCAAATCCGGAGTTGGACACAGGCATCTCCTTTACAACCTCCATTGCTAATCCAGCCCAAAGATCATAAGCTAAAAGTTGGTGACTATACACCTACTTGGCTTTGCCCTCTTAGCCTCTTTGCCTTTCTTTATGTACACCTTTGACTCTTTGGACAGGTAAAAGGGAAAGTGCTATTGTGGGAAGAAGGATTTAAATTGAGATAGAAGTTATTCATGTCAGGAGAAACCAGTAAGCGTTAACCAGGATGATGGCAGAATCTTCTCCCAAGGATTAAACACACAGAGGCTGGATTAGCCCTCTGGTCTAGCCCAGGGTCTCTCCATGTCCCTGTCAGTGGATGGGCAAAGGAGCTCCCCTCCCTCCCAGCCTGAATGAAGCTGCTACTCACTGTAGATGGTCTGATGGGGTGTGCCGTCCACATGGCCATCCTTGTGGATCTGTAGGTGGTAGCTGTTCCTGGCTGAGGCCGTGTACAGGTGGGTCAGGCCACTCCAGCTGGAGCCCAGCAGTGGGGAGGAATTGGGATAGGCTCTGACCATGCAGTGCAGGGCCAGGACACAGACCAGTAACCCAAGGCAGGCCCTTGGCATCGCTGCTCTCTAACTGGCTGGTGCAGAGTTTGAAACCTGACACTGCCTCCCTGACTAGGGGCAGCCTCTCTGGTCTTTTTCTCCTCTTCCCCCTGGTGGGTATCTGGCGTGAAGATCCCAGGCTGGATTCCCTCCTTTCCCCCTTGGGCTTTTAAAGGGTAGCAGTGTGACATCAACCAGGAAAACCTCCACTGTCCACATCCTCTATGTTGTAATCAGCTAATTTGAAGAGTGCAGAGAACTCTGAGGCTCACAGAAGGCACGTTGGTCACACACACACACACACACACACACACACACACTCACACACTCTCTCTCACACACACACACTAATTTCAAGCCAACGCTCCAAGAAGTGAATGATATGTGGGCAAAAGTTATCTATGACTCTGATGACCTGTCCCACTTCCACCAGGAAATGTGAAGGCAGCCAGCGGTTCCGAAAAAATCCAGCTTCAGTCATGCGGTCAATAGACTCCTGTGCAATTAATCTCCCAAGGAGTTTACTCATTTTGGTTTTCTTGGTCCTTTCCATCCCAATCAGCAACAATGTGCCCAGTGCTTTCTCTGTGTACAGCACAGGTGGGTGTTTTGAAGGACACAGAAATAATACAGAGTACCACCAGGCAACCGGGATTCTCTGAGAACCACTGCCCCACTCCATGAAGATACAGGAGCAGAGAGCAGAGGAACCAAAACCAAGGCTGCCATTTGGGGGGAAAGTTCCAGACAGGAAGAAGGAAAGCAAGGCCTTGAGTCTCTGCTGCTCTACACAATGCTGCGGTTTGATGTCTCAGTTTCCCTGGTTGGGCTGTCTAGGGCAGGGTGGGGAATGTCCAGCCTGTGGGGCCATATCAGGTCCAAGAAATCATTTGCTCTGGGCCCTGAGAAGGCAACTACAGGCAGGACTCAAAATTTAATAAGTCTAAGAGCCTTTTCCATAGCAACATCATGTATATTACCCTGGTCTAGGGCAACTGAACTGGTATTATGGTCTCCCCAATAGTATGGAGACTCATTGAGAGACCTCACAAAGACTGCAAGACTGTTGGCTGAGCACAGGAGTCAGAGCCCAGGAAGGCTCCAGGAGTGAGTCCCCACAGCTAGTGTCTATTGAGTGCCTGGCTCCTAGGATGGAACTTGCCTCTCAGATGCTCTGCACAGGTGTGCCCTCTGGGAAGCTACATGTGATGGAGGACAGTCCTAGCACATGCAGCTCAACAGGGAGCAGGCTGCTGGAATGCATCCCAGAAAACACACACAGGAGGCTGCGACTTTTCCAGGTCCCATTTGTTGAGTGCATACCATGTTCAGGCATCAGGCTGGACAGCATGGTTGATTAAAGAGAGAGCAAACTGTGATCCCTGCCTCAAGGAGTTCACAGGCTAGTAGAGAAAGGTAAGTAGCTACCACACAAAGCATGATGGGATACACAATCACATAGGTGCCGGTGAAAGGGGAGGGGCATATGTTACCCTACATTTGCCCAAGGCTTTATAGTTTACGAAGCATTTTCATGTGTACCTGCTCATTTTAATCTCATTGCAGCACTGTGAGATAGGCACTCCAGGCATTATCAGCACTTCAATATTACACATGAAGAAAAGGTCTTGGGATTCATATGTATAAATAAATGAGATAGGACAGTATCTTCTGCTTTCCTAGCTTGCTTCTTCAATAATAATCATGACGGCAACTAGTATTTATTGAGAGCTTACCAAGTTACTTGTAGTAACTCAGTGAATTTTCATAATAAATCTCTGAAGAGATGCGGTGATTTCCTTTATCCTGATAGGACACTGATGCACACAGTTTATACAGTTCATACAGGGAAGAGGTCAGATTGATGTCTGGGCAGTCTGACTTCAGCCCTCTTAAGCGCTTTGCTAGATGTACAAACCCCATGAGTGCTGGGCATCTGGTAAGGAAGTGCAGGTAGCAATGAGGCATAACGCTGGTTCTGAATATTCAGTGTTTCTCTAATAAAACCAGGCCTTTACCCAGGATGTGTCTCTAAGAGGCAGCGTGCTGTCTTCCCAGGTTAGATAGAAGATTTAGGACATTCAATGGTTATGTATAGCACAGTCTTCTTCAGTGATGTTCACAGAATGGTTCACAAGTATAGCACCTCAACTCAGTTAACTGAAGAAACAGCCAGCCTTCAGAATTGAATCATTCAGGAACATTGGCCAGTTGACAACCCTACATTTCCTCTGTTGCTTGCGAATGGGAAAGAGATTGGAAGTACCTGCGACAGTCGGTGGGCACTGAGAGCCTTCTCTGTGCAAGGGAAGAGAGGAGGGAATTACAGGGAAAAAGCAGTACAATCTTATCCTCAAGGGCTTATAATATTGATAAGAAAAAAGAAAAACTTTGCTCAATACAAGACACTGAGAGGAGCTAAATTACTAGGACATGTAAGAAACGCTAAGGGGTTTGGCCTAGAGAAGCGAGAGATCACTGTGGGTGGACACTGAAGTCAAAGAGGGCTTAAAGGGACCTGAGACTAGATGGAACCTCTATATGGACAGACAGGGAAGGGTGCATCCCAGCGCCTGCCAGGGCACGTTGGGGAGCGAGTGCAGGTGTCTTGGGAGGCGCATCTGACCATTGGCTCTGCTCCTGGGGTGGATGGAAAGGGAACCTCCCTCTTCACTGCAGCTGGGGAAGAGAATTGATGTGCCACTTACTCCACTTCCAAAACCTTCCCTCCAAGAAGAAGCCCTGAATGCCTAGCAGCTGGATCTGAAGACAGAGAACAGCCCAGGGGCATTGGTTTATTTCTGAAGGGAAAAAGGATGGGGATGAGAGAAGAAGCACTTCCAATTTGGCGAGAGTGAAGAAGGTACAGGAACCTCAGAATAACTCCTCCCACCTGAGATATGGAAAAATTGAGAGTGGAGGGGAGGATTTGCCCAATAGCAGAACTTCTAGCTCCTGGCTGAAATCCCTAGGAGCAGATTCCAAACCCGGCCACCTATCGGAATCACCATAGCCTCTGAGCAGCCTCCCCAGATGCCAATGGGTGTGGCATCTTCCCAGAAGCTTCTGACAACCTTGACAAGAAGGGAGAGCCCAGAGGAAGTTGGTTTCAGTTCTTTGCACCTACAGGGCACTCATGGGTGACAATTCCAGTTAAAGATCAGGGAGCTGGTGTGCCCTTAGGAGCCAAATGAGAAAGGCTGATACCAAGCAGGAGCAGGAAGGCAGGGGGGAAGGCCAGTGGTTTGCGGTTCAGGGAAACCACTGTCCTCGGTGCCCAGGTGGCTGCCTGGCATGCAACAGGTGGGCACACCTGCTCTTCTCCAGTCAGCTCTGCAAGCCCCTGCTCTGACTGAGGAGGATTTGCCGTGGGAGCTGTGGAGGCCTCTGGTCCATCCCTGCATTTGCAGTCAGAGAACCAAAGCTCTACACACAGCTGGGGGATGATAGGAATCTATTCCCACAGTCGATTACTTTCCCTTAGCTCCTGACATCCTTTTCTCAGAATCCGATCTCCCCCAGGCCATGGCTTCTCAATCTGAAGACTTTTCAACAATTCAGATGTTCCAGTCTGGGTGTTTTTTTGGGGGTAGGAAACCGTCTTATCTTCTATTCCCTCCGCCCAATTGTTTGCTTTGTCACCTGCTACTCTTGATCATCCTCCTGGGAATTACCCACTGGTGGGTGGTGACTGAAAGTGTTTAAATTCTCTGCTGGTTGGCTCGTTTCTCTCTCCCTGCCTTGCTTATCATGCCCACACTGGCTTAGGGATAGACTCAAGGAAGCCAGTTGCCTTTAATCTCATATTTAATATCATATGTATGCTTATGTACATTTATAATGTACTACCAAAGGTCACTATATTATCAGTCTCACCCCAAGAGATGTAGTCAAAAGTAAATCTAAATATATAAATAGAACCTCATTATTCATTCATAACAAGTGAAATAAAAATGGCTTCTGTAATATTGTAGAATCCATGCAATTGCTGTGTTGCTTTTGGTGCAATAATCAGAAGCTTGTTCTGCAGGACTAAGAGGGGTTGGTACTGCAGATGCCTCCACTGGGAACCTCAGTGAATGGACGGTCATAGGGGAGCTGGAAGGGAGAGGACATGAGAGAAGTCCAAGCGATTGATCTGTAGCTGCAGTCTTTTCCTTCCATCCCAAGTCCTCAGTCCTTCCTTTTCCTCACTTACACCCATCTTACTGGACCTACTTCCAGCCTCCACCTCTGCAGCCTGAGGAGATCAGGCAATGTGAGTCCCAGGCTGGAGGAGTCCAGGCCTGTGAATGGTTTCACAAAAGGCCCACTTTGGGCCATAAGAACAGGGTTACACTTGTTTCACTCAGAGCAAAGGCAAAGAGTTAAGTCACACTTGCAGTGGAGGCAGCGTGGTGACACAGCTTTTGAGTTAAAGGCTTGCAGCGTAGTAAAGTTTGTCCATTTGTACCGCCCTCCCCAAACCCTATGCAGTCACAAGTCCAGAAGGCTCTTTGACTCCCCTTTCTTTCTCTTCAACACTCGGCTCTCCAAAAATAAATGAATGAATAAATAAATAAATAAATAAATAAATAAAAATAAAAAAATTGTTAGCTTCATGTAAATAGGGATTTTTAATTTTTCAAAAATACTTTCATAATGGTTATCTCACTTGTCCCTCACAGAAATAGTCTGCTTAAAGAGGGACTTTTCCAAAAGGTTACTCCTACAAGTTGGTATGAAATCAAGTATCCTTTTGGCTGGTCAGACCTCATGACCTGGCACTTCATGGCCCTGGCACCCCCACCGAGCACCCCCTCCTCAGTCTCCTCTCTGTGCCTTTCTAGGTCAGTGCCCCATCTAGAGTTTTCTGAACTTGGGAGACTTGTAAATTCTGAGTTCATTTCCTTTCCCTTTTATTTTCTTCCCCTTCCTCTCCTACTGACTCCCCCCAAACCAGGGCGATCTAGGGGTCTCTTCTTCCCCTACTTTCCTCCTTGTGAGGGTCATAGAAACATAGAATCTCATAACTGGATGCTGGGAACCTTGGAGTTCCTCACTATTGCCTGCTTTTACAATAAGAGCTACTGAAGCCCAAGGTGACTTAGCCAAGGTCACACAGCCATATTGATGGCAGAACTTAGGATCTGG